TAAGGGTGAGAGCATTGTCTCACACTCTCAGACCATATGAAAGGAAGAAGATGGTGCCATCTGCAAACTAAGGATTAGAAATCTCCACTCTCTCCTCCTTAACCATACCCTAATAACTCTAATAAGTCTCGTCTTAAGTCCCTTAATCAATTCAACTAAAAATATCCACAACTAGCTTTAAAAGGAATGAAGAGAAAGGATCACCCTGTCTCACTTTGCTAGACCCTTTGAACCAAGGCCGAAGCTTGCTATTAACGATAACTGCAAAGGAGACCGAGTATGGATATCCACTAATTTGCTTCCTCCATCTGGTCCTGGAACCTTTTTTATCCATCATCTTATCCATGAAATACTAATTAACTCTATCATATGCTTTTTCCAGATTCAACTCGAAGAATGGATGTTTTATTCTTATACATGCTTGTCACTCAAGCTAATATGATAGAAGTCAGGAATCTTCTAAGACTTGTCTTTCTTAGGCACCGAAGTAATGAAGGTAGATTGTTTATACTCTTACCAGCAAAGCCTGTTGAGATAAAATTCCTCAACCACCTCCATCAAGTCACATTTTACACAGTTTTGACAAGTTTGGAAGAAAGCAATAGAGAAACCATTTGGTCTGAGAGTCTTATCAGGACCAAGAGCCATCAAGGCCCTCTTCACTTCTTACTCAAGGAAAGGTCTCTCTGACTAATTTGCCTCACTGAAATTGATGAGACTCAAATTAATTCCCTCAAAGAACCGATGATCTTACCATCCTAATTGGACAAAACTTTGAAAATTAGTGATTTAACTTCGTATGGAAGTAGGTGGGGTGTCTATCAGTTTGGACCAGACTAGATCTATCCAAGGACCAAACCGACTAAAGACTGGACCGGTCACATTTTGGATTAGACTGAATTAGATCTTTTTCTTTTCAAATTATCATGTTTAATTCAATAAATTAAAAACAATAATAAATCTGAAAATTTTAATCATGCATCAAATCTATAATTAATGAAATTAATAAAATAATAATAATAATTTATTAAATATCAATAATAATTAAAAATTTTCAAAGAGTTCTTTGAAATTAATTAAACATTTTTCTTTTCAAATTATCATGTTTAATTCAATAAATTAAAAACAACAATAAATTTAGAAATTTTAATCATGCATCAAATCTATAATTAATGAAATTAATAAAATAATAATAATAATTTATTAAATATCAATCATAATTAAAAATTTTCAAAGAGTTCTTTGAAATTTCTGTCTGGATCGGGGACTAAAGTAGATCAGACCAAAAAGTTCCTCCATCTTTGGAACGAAGACCAGACTGAACTATTTTTCGTCAAGTTCGGTCCAATTTAATCTAGTTTTTTATTCTCGATTGAAATTTGAACATCTTAGAAGTAGGCCATGCTCCAGGACACCACCCTCTAATTCCAACTCCTTAATGAAGCTTTTTTCCCTTCTTCGATTATCAAGTCTATGAAAAAGATTTGAGTTAACATCCCCCTTTTAGACCAGTTAATTCTACATTTCTGCTGTCAACTTCCTTTCTGTTTTGTTATAGTGTCACACCTTGATTTTGCCTTTCAAGAATTGGAATTCCTTCATGATACTAAACTTCTCCCAACCTTCCACCTCAACCTTATTCAGTAACTCCTTCACTTTATTAAGAAGTTTGGACGTCAAAGCTACATATCTCGAAATAAAAGGGAGCAGGATCCTAACTCAGGATATGGGACTCAAGAATGATAGCGGAATGATCTAAAAAGGGAAGATGGAGATATTTTGGATTTTGTCAGGAAATTATCCTTCCAATAATTAGAAACTAAAAAATTACCAATGCAGTAAGAGACAATTCTACCTCCATTAAAGAACCAAGTAAACAAGGCATTTGATAAAGGAAGGTCTCTGAGCTCTCAAATCTTGAACAAACGAATTAAAACCTTTCGTAGTGAAAGTAAATCTAGAGCTTCCTATTTCTCACCAAAAAAACTTGCACGCAATAAAATCACCCTTAGTACTCCAAAAAGGATGAAATGGTACCCTGAAGAACATCGATACAAGAAGAAACTCTAAGTTCCAAATAATCAATATCCTATTGTGACACCCCAATAGAAGGGCTAACAACCTAGTTCTTAAACCCAGAATTCTAGACACTCTTCATTAATTAACAGGCTATCCACAGAGTCCTTCATCTAGACACACTCTAGAAATCACCTCTTTCACATTCTTTCCCTTTAGAATTCTTCTTAACCCCTTTATGTTCCAACTGACAATTTTCATAAAGAATTATCCTTATTCTTCTTCCTTGCCGAATCACCATAAAACACCTTAGAGGATAAACTTGATTTAAGCTTAAGAATGCCATGAGTCATAGTCTTCTATTGGCCTTCATGATAAATCAGAGTGACAGGAATTGGACACCTTGTGATGGCCTTCTAGTTTAAGTTTACACTAAATAATCAAACAGGGAAGTGTAAAACATCAGCACCTACTTTCATAGGAGTAAAGTGATCCGATTCTACATTAGGAAAATTATAGAAACCCCTTGAGGTTTGGTGTCGCCACTAGAAACTTTCTCACTTTAGCAAGCAAAACCTTTCATGTGAAAACTACACTTACTCCCCTTATATAAATCTTAATAATTAAATTTGACACCAACAGTGAAATAACCGTGATTCTTTCCTTTCTTTGACAATATCCTTAATAGTCACCTAAATATTTTTTTTATCTAAAAAAAAAGTCACCTAAAGGTTTCTTAACCTACTTATCTCTTTTTTTTTTCTTTGGTTTAATCTAGAAGTATTTACATTATCAACTAATGTTCAATTAGATAAATGTAAAATAATTTGATTTATTGATCAATTATTCCAAAAACTTAAAGTAACAAAAAGTATATATTTTTAAATTTTTTATTTAAAAAAAAAGTTAATTGAAGGGTTCAACCTTCGCACATATATGTAATTAAGAACTCAACAATTTATCTTATTCAGTATCGAACATTTTTCATTGCTTTCATTTAAGGGTTTTGCTTAGTTTTTGGATTGCTACCATTTATTTACGGTCACATAACATGTCATGTCTAACAAAAGAACACGTGATATGCCACACTATCAATCAAATTAGATTTAATATTAAAAGAACATAACATTTTTACTATAAATTTACTGATAAATGAGTTAAACTAATAAATCTATTTATAGTCAATAAAATAAAATAAAGTATCAATAATTTGAAATAATTTGGTTTTTCATTCAAGCAGTAAGGATTAGAGTTAAATTATTTATTATCAGTAAATATAAAATAGAAATATTGTTATTTTAAATATTAACATTAGTTTGGTTACCAATGCGGCAAGCCACATGTTTTTTTGGGTTAACGTAGCATTCCTTGTGGTAGAAAAACTAACATCCGATTAGGTACTTGAATGGATTGCAAATTTTAGGTACTTGAATGAACAGAATAAAATATTGGGTTCTTAATTATTATGCAAAAGCTGAGCTCTTCAAGATGTGGTTAGTCAATAAAAATGACCTTTTTCTATTATTTACTTTCTAATACGCCTTTTCACATACAACTATACAAGCAAAATATAAGCTTGGCAAGTAGACAATATTCAAGTGCGTGAAACTCAGACAGACTCTGAGTTTTGCACAAAAGCCGAATTGTGTGAAACAAGTGGAAATAGATACAAGCCAAGCAGAGACTAACGGCCCCTCTCTTTTGAGAGGATACCAAAATGTAAACATCTGCAGTCTTCTTGGCTGCTGAACAAGCATGGCTAGTTTGGCTGTTGATTTTTCAAATAAAAATTTAATAATTTAGTGGATATTATTATTGTTAGTATATTTGGGAGTTTATAATGAATGAACTTGCGCAAAAAAGATAAGCTGTATAGCAAGTAGAAAGTAACAGAAAAGGTAACAGTGATTAACAGAGAGAGGTTAGTATAAACAGGAGTTTTTATCCTGATTCTTAAATTAGGGTCACATCTCATGGAGAATTTTTGAAACACTTCTGATCAGCAAAAGAGAAAATTAAAAATTGAAGAATCCAATAAGTCATGAATGAAATTGAAAGAAAATTAAAAGCAGGCAGCTTAACTGACAAAGGTTCAGAATCAATTTTTACAGACAGAAAGAGAAAATGCATAGAGAGAGAAAGAAATGATGAGTCGAAGAAAACGGGCTATAAACTAGAGATCTTTAAGAACAAGCTCTTTCTTTTAATAAGCATAAATAATTGAATGAATTATATTTTTTCTTTGAGTTACTAGCGGTTTAATGTTCGATGGTAAATGTCAATCTGGGTAGCACTCCTGAGATGTCATCCCCTCAACTGATGAAGCTTTCTTATCTTTTTAGGAAAATTGCAGCCCTCACGACGCAGGTCCCTCTTCACCTTGTCTTCATCTATGGCCATATTCTTGTCAAAAGCGTTCAACATACCTCCTCTTATTCCTTGTGCAAAAGCTGCACTTACTGATAAAACAGTAGGTCTATAAAGTTTTTTTTGGGATTTCCATTTTTTCTAAGTCTTATATATTAGCATTTCTGTTTTCTTATTCCTAAGGAAATAATCATACCAGAAAATTTACTTAAACTTTGAGCTTCCTTGTAATGTTTACATTGTTATGATGGCATATCAGATGGATCCGTTTCTACAGTTGGTTGATGATTGCAAAGTAAAGGCTGTTGATACTGGTGACCATTCAGAAAAAGTATATGGATCTAAAGAAGATGACGAAGATGCCTTGAAGTCGCTTTCAGCAATAGAAATAACAGAAAACTTATCTAAAGAGTACTTTGCTGCAATGATCGTGAAGTTTCTTGGAAAATCAGATGTAAATGGAATTTGCATTTTAGTGCTCTAGTATATTATATCAGGAGTGCCTTGCCAATCTTTGTGTTCTTTTTTGCAGCAAGAGTCATCCTGCATAAGAGAACAGTTGATTACTGACTTTATACCCGATGATGTATGTCCATTGGGGGCTCAGTTGATGGAAGCACCTGCAGAAGTGTACCAGTATGAAATCAAAGGCAGAGAATCTCCTGACAAGGTGACTACATTTTTATTCTTTTATTATCTTCTATTTCATTTTCTTTACTATAACGTCTTATGGACACTGACATTGTCATTTTGCAGGCTGAACCTCTATTATTCCTGCCTGACACTGACTTGCTACCAAGTGCATATGAAAGCCAAACAGATCCTACCATGCAGCTGGGTTCAAAAGAAATCTCAAATCTCTTGAGTGTGGATGAACTTCTGGATGCAGTAAGTTTTTTGTTGATCCGGTGGATGGCAGGGAGACAACCATTATAATTAAGACTTGTTCTGATCATTCACAAAAAGTGCTTTTTTTATTGGAATATTTTCAAATTTGTTGAGGTTATGGTTTTTCTTTCTTTTTTTTTTTTGGGGAGGGGGTGGTGGCTGGGGTTTTAGAATTACTTTATCATTCCAAGGTATCTGAAGGAATTCCTTTATTTGTCCATTTTCATTCTTCACTATAGCATTAGAGAAGTGCAATGTTGTGATAAGACCCTTGAGTTTAGTACCTATCCATAAGCATACTCTTGTTTATGATGCAATGGTCATTGTGATGTTTTTTCAGTTGAGGCTCCTCTCAGGCTTTAGTTTTGTCTCTGCAAAAACAATCATAAATATTCGAACGTTTACCAGGATAACATTTAGCTCGGATATTAAGCTTAATGGAACCTCTTTTCTGCTAGATAAAAACATGGAGTGTTTATTCTCTCATTTAGTATTATCTCTCTGGGATGGTGATATTTTCTGCAGGTTTCTCAGACAACAAATCAAGTTGGAAGATACTCAGTCTCCCATCCACCTGACATGACTTACACTGAAATGGCTGGTCATTGTGAGGCCCTTCTAATGGGAAAACAGCAGAAGATGTCAGTTTTCATGGTTGCTCAAAAGAGTAACAATTACAGCCAGGCCAAAGATCAGACAATTTCTTATTCACATGTTGAACCAGTTGTCTCTCTGGTATTTCCTTGCATTATCTTCACATTTGCATTGAACATTATGTTGTTATTCAAACTTAGATTTTTCTCAGTGATATCAAAATCTGCATGGAAGAGATTAAAATCTAACAGTTGAAGGAGTTAAAATGTTAATTATTCTGTCACCATTAGTCACTAGATCAGTTTCATCATAGGAGCAGCAGTTGTGGCTTAAGAGTCTTGAAAAGGTTGTAAATAAGCCTCATTATCCTCAATTCTATGTTATAATTCTCATTTCATTTGAAAAAATCTAATTAAAAGCATGTAGCTGAATCGAAGCACCAACAACTATAGTGCAGCAGAAGTTTTGTTTGAATAGATCAGATTTAGAGTACTTAGATTACTCACAATAAAGACTAAAAATTTCAAAGAATAACGTTGAATTGTATTAAGTTATATCCAAAACTGTTACAAGTCCTTTTATAAGGTTTGTAACATGTACCTAACTAGGAACATGAAATCCTAAGAAACTAAGAATCAAATTAGGAATAGGAAATATCAAGGAAACTAGAAAACTAAAATAAATCTTGGACTTGAATTAGAAAAGATCAAAAATAATAAAATAATAACACTTAGGATTGAACTAAAAATAACACTTAGAATTGAACTAGAAAAAGTGTGCTGCATCAATTGCTAATAGGTTCGGATACTAGGATGATAACAAACACTTGAGTCCTTACCAATCACCAACCACCAGCGACCAACTCTACTATCAGCAGATTCACTACCAACGCTTGCATGGACATCAAACCGGATGATGCACACTAACAGTTCGATATTACCATTATCCATTGTCAGCTAATCTGTCCATCATGTTTAAAACCACCAGAACTAATACAAAGACCAGAGAATCTAGGATACCAGTATGTTCAGCATTATCTCTTTTCCCATACACTATCCATTTCATTGTTACCACTTCCAGCACTACCATGACTCATATGAAGTTTCAAAATGGTTTGACTTAATATGGCCTTCACTATCATTAGTCTCCACATATAACCTGTGTAACATATCAGTTGCTGGTACCGTTTCCGCTATCACGGTTGTCATTAGTATTAGTATAACCCTTGCCTGCCGACACCCTCCACCTATAACCACCTACACAACCCGTGTGTCATATCAAGTGCTGTTACCTTTTTCACTATCATGGTCCTCATTAGTATTAAGTATAACCCTTTGCTGTCGGTACCAAGCTTGTCCTTTAACTTATTCAATCTAAATAAGCTGAAATCATATAGCTAGTGAAATATTATGGTGAGTGGAATTTTATTTTCGTTTTGATCTCCTTCTAAAAACTCCTGAATGTCTATTATTTCATCAGAATGCCCTATTCTAGATACATATTAAACAACAACAATGTGTATGCAATGGGACTTGTCCTTCAGTTCAAGAATAAAATTGGAATGATATCAGTTTCAAATTTTTAATAGTGTTGTGTCAAATAGTATAATTTAACATTTAACATTTTGAATATTTAACTTCAAAATTTGTCGTTAGTTCAAAATCATAAAGGAACTAATAAGGTTCTTCTTCCTTTTTGAAAAATTTGGTCATTTAAAACGAATTTTGAATGTATTGCACGTCTACTAAATTCATAACGTATGTTAGTCCATATATGCATTAAACCTAACTTTTCTGTATCCTGTTGCCTGCATGCAAATTGATTTGAGGCTCACACCATTAGGAATTGCAGGGTGGAAATCCATTCCTTGATCAGAACTTTGATGTTGTTTCCTACAATCCATCTACTGCTAGCATTAGCGCAATGCCGTGTGCCACTGAGTACCAGCATCATCCCCACTGCTTCCGACCACCGGCATCATGCCCGTTTGATAATTTTATGAAAGCCGCCAGTTCGGAGGTAATACACTAAACTTGGGTAATGGAAGTCCATATTTTCCCTCGGAGCAAGTCCAATTGACAATCTCGAGAAGGCTTCTGGCTGATGATGTCGTAAACCATAAAAACCGGGGTCCATGAACAATGAGTTGAAAGTTGGCTGACGGAATTCTCAGAAATCTAGTTGCTACTTCCAACATAATGATTTGCAGGAGCTGTTATGGGTTAGGTCAGCAATTTTGTGCTCGTATTTCTGTTAACAGTAAATGGCTTGATTCATTATTTTGTTGATTAATCCTCTATTTTTATTTTTTTTTTCCTTCCTTCCTTTTGGTTTTTAACTTCAACTTTTCATCCCATACATATTGAAATTTTTGGGATGAATATGTATAGGTGTATGCAACCCCATGTAGTAAGTTTGTTTCTTTTTAATTGTTATATAGTCCATTGATCATGTATCAGCTTGTAAAAATTGGTGTTTTGTAAAATTCAATTATGTGAATGTGAAGATAGAGAAAAAGATATTCCTAGTAGGTTAGAATTTTAATTATTCTAAATTTATATCGATATATTATAAAATATAAATTTTAATTTCTCTTTGAAAATTTTATGATTTTACTATAATACTAAACATTATTTGTAGACTTGACTTTATTATTTAATTATTGGCAAAAGTTTTATTAAATGTTATTTTAATTATAATTATGAAAAAATTAAAAGAAAATGAAAATTAAAAATTAAAAATTAAAAAATAAAGAAGAGAACTATATAAGCGCCCAACCCAATTTAATTTAAATAAAATTCCATTTGAAGCCGAAGTCTAAAATCATCACCAAGTAAAAACCCTCTTTTGTGTTACTCATGGACAAGCAGTTATAATATACACCCTCCAGGAGTTATACATTTATATATATATATATATACACACACACACAGACGACCTGAAAATTTTCTCATCTTTGTCGTCTTTTTCCTACAAGCAATCTCTGGAAGTTTCTTCTTCGAAAAAGAAGAAGGAAAACCTAAACTTACTTCCTTCCCCTTTTCTTCTCCATCAACAGAGCTTATCATCCCCATTTTTGCTCCTTTTCCTTCAAACGAATTGCCGAACTGTAATTCTCTGAGATCATTGTAGCTTCTTCTCTGAACCAGCAGCAATCGTCCCTATTTCTTCCCTTCCGTTTTCGATCCTCTTCTTCTTCCTTTCTACAATACAATCTCTATTCTCAACTGAAAAGGGCCTCTACTCTGCGTACTCCTTCTCTCGCGGTAGTACGTCTCGTTCATCACACATCTATTCGTCACTGCTAGTCTTCCGTGATCCGGGTGAGTGGCATCGCTGTTAAATGGTTTCAGATTGTAATTTTGCTTTTAAGTGAGGTTGCTATGGATTGAAATCCTTCAAATGCTATTCTGATTAAAAAATGTATTGTTTCAGATATTGCACGAATTTTGGTGAATTTGGAGTATGGAGGACGCTCAGGAGCAGCAAAGTCAATCTCTTGGTGAGTTTTCCATGCTCCCGTTTAAGATACTGAATTCTTTAATTTCGGATTTTAGTACTTGAATATGCGATCTTACAAGGCATATTAATGAGGAAAAAAATGTTCAGTTGTGCAAGTATCATTTGATCTTATATAGCTATATTTAAAATTAAAACGAAAAAATTGCTTCTTGGATTATACACACCAGCAATTTCTAATGTAACTGAATATTTTGTGAAGAGTACTTTTGGATAATTATTATGTATTGAATTAGCTGTTTTCTTAAGACTAAGTATTGCGTTGACTTTCTTTTTATTTTACACTGTAAAAAGCTATATAATTGGCAAGAGAAAATCTTTTTCTAGCATAAAATTGTGATATTTTTTGGTCTTGCTGGAAGATGAACTTGCTGCAGATTACATTGCAAAACAAGGTGAGTTCATGCCCTTGTTTTTTGTAGGTCAAGACCAAGAAAATGACATAGTTGCTGAAGGTGCTGCTTTTGTGCATGGAGATCCACCTCAAGACGCTAATGGTCCCCCAAAAGTCGATTCTGCAGTTGAAATCCTGCATGAGAAAGTAACGAAGCAAATCATTAAGGAAGGTCATGGTCAGAAACCATCCAAGTACTCTACATGCTTCTGTAAGTACCAGATATCTGCTTGTATTGGATATCTCTGAGCTTTAGTATACTGTGGTTTTGATCCTTGAAAATATTTTTGAGTTTGCCATTCTGGTGGCTGAGGACTTCTGTTTTGCACCAATGAGTATTGAATAGCTAATGCTGTCAAATAAAGCACTTTCTGACAATTTGTTACAAAGTAATGCATGTCTCTAGCCTTTCTGTCATATCTAAGGACATGGGGGAGTTGAATACCATTTCTTTTTGGTGGCTGCAAGTTAGCATGGTAAGGTATAATTAATAAGGAGAGATGTTTTCTGTGATTGATTGTGGAGTTCAAAGCCGTTTGACTGAGGTCGGAATCAATTGTTTAACATACTTACATATTGCATTCGTCAAGCCAATACTTGAGCTAAAACCAACTATGTACAGCATTGATATTAAGGGAAAGTTCTTGTTTACTGTCTTGTTGGAGGCTATGATTGAAGTTGAGCTCATGTTTTCTGTATCCTATTAACTGCATCGGTGCCACAGTGCATTACAGGGGATGGACTGAAAGCACTCAACACAAGTTTGAAGACACATGGAATGAACAGCAACCAATCGAAATGGTTTTGGGGAAAGGTACTTGCCTAATTCATCCTGATTCTTTCTTTGAATTCAAACCCGTTGAATAAAAAATGCTGACAAGATTCTTCGATGCTTAATATATAGTCTCTGCTAAAGTTTATGAAGATTTTGAGAGTAGGAAAAAACTCCCTTTTTTCATTTATTACATCAATGATTTGTGCCTCATTTTATAGGCAAAACAGAAGGAAAAATAAATTAACAACCTTCCCTATTAAATGACAGTTAGCATTCTGTTACGGTGCCTAGTTGTCTAACAAAAATAAATAACAGAAAACAGTAACAGCAAATATAACTTATTCTTAATATTTTTACACTCTCCCTTAATCAGGTTACGTAAATGTTGAGTAAACCTAGATTGGATATCAATTCGTTGAAGGATCTTTTAGGAAGTGCCTTTGTTAAAATATCTGCAGTTTGCTGACTAATAGGAACATGGAGTATTGTAATAGTTTGATCTTCAATCTTCTCTCTGATGAAGTGCCGATCTATCTCCATGTGTTTAGTTCGATCGTGATGTACAAGATTTTTAGTTATGTTGATTGTTAATTGATTGTCGCACCGTACTTTCATGGGAGTAGTAATCGAGAATTTTATTTCTATTAGAATCCTTTTTAACCAAATTCCCTCATATATTCCATGAGCAAGTGACCGAAGTTCAGCTTCTGTACTATTTCGTGACACAACAGATTGTCTCTTGCTCCGCCAAGTGACTAAGTTTTCCCAAACATAGTACCCAGATGTAGATCTTCTGTCAGTTACAAAACCCGCCCAATCGGTATTTGTGTAGATTTCAATATTCCTGTTCATTGTTTTCTGGAGAAATAGTCCTTATCCTGGAGTTTTCTTAAGATATCTTAGGATCCGATATACTATATTCATATGATCATCAGTAGGTTGATTCATGAATTGACTTGCAGTACTGACAGCAAAACTGATGTCAGGTCTAGTATGAGCGAGATAAACAAGTTTGTCCACAAGTTTCTGATATCTTTCTTTATCAACTGGTTTGCCATTGGTTTTAAATCCAACTTTTGTAGTCGTTTCTATGGGTGTTTCTGTTAATTTACACCCAAGCATCCCTGTTTCTTTCAATAGGTCAAGAACATATTTTCGTTGTGACACATATATTCCCTTTTTAGAACAAGTAAATTCCATTCCCGGAAAATACCTGAGTGCTTCAAAATCTTTTATCTCAAACTCTGTGACAAGAAAAATTTTGAGTTTCTGAATTTTCTCTATGTTATCACCTGGTAAAAATAATATCATCAACATAAATAATTAAGATCGCTTTCTTATAAGAGGCATTATTCTTGACAAACAAAGTATGATCAGACTGACACTGCTCAGAGCCCATATGTTTGATAGTTTTGGTGGATTTGTCAAACCAAGTTCTCGGAGATTGTTTTAGAACATAGAGTGCTTTTCTGAGTTTGCACACCTTGTTAGATTTATATGTGGTCTCAAGGACCGGAGGGACTTCCGTATATACCTTTTCTTCTAAATCACAATTGAGAAATGCATTCTTTACGTCAAGTTGACAGAGAGGCCAATTAAGATTAGAAGCAAAAGAGAGTAATACCCGGATAGTGTTGTGCTTAGCCACTGGGTGAATGTCTCCTGATAGTCTATTCCGTAGGACTAAGTGAAGCTTTTAGCCACTAGACGGGTTTTGTACGGATTCACACTTCCATCAGGATTGTGTTTTGTAGTGAATACCCATTTGCACCCTACTTTATGTTTTCCAAGTAGAAGTTCTGTCAGTTCCCAAGTCTTGTTCTTGTCTAGAGTCCTGATCTTCACTCTGGTAGTGCAAGGGTTTCATGAATTGTTTTTGGTTCAGTGGAGCTGCCATCAAGCTTACTTATATATGCATGATACTTTGAAGATATGTTGCTGAATGAAACATAATCCTGTATAGGGTGTCTAGTACAAGATCGAGTTACTTTCCACAAGGCAATAGGTAACTCAATATCGTGGTGTCTGTAATGGTAATAATATCAGAAATTGTGTCTAAAAACTCATTATCTGATGTGTCCTTACTGCTCGGAATTGGAATAGACTCATGACAATGTGTAGTTGGCTCAGAATCTTTATCAACTGTAGTTTTGTTTCTCCTAGTATAGACACGTAACTTTTTATTGATAG